CTAACTTGGTAGATTAACTCGAAACCATAATTGTCAATTTTTACAAGAAGATCCCAAGTTAATATATTTACTGAATTAGATGATTTAACACCTTTAAATGAAATGGATACAGCAATTGACTTAACTTTATTTATATGTAAAACTAAAAATATTTAAAAGTATATTTAATTGAATTGATTTATATAATTATTAATTATAACTAATTGTGATTTACAGAATTATTTTTCTAATATCGGCTTGTATTTCCATTAGTACAGGTATTGCAACATGCGTTGGTGGATGAGCACTATGAAATTGTCCGTTGTACATTTTATGAAAATTTTCTGCTCCATTTGTGGTTCTAAAAAAACAATTCTTTTCAATATCCTTAAATAAAATGTATTATAAAAAATAAAATATATAAGTTACCTTGGAGTAATTGAAGGAACCACATGCCCATATTGCAGGTGGAAATACACAACCAGGTTCTATGTACGATTTAAGTACGTAATAAGAAAATATATGGCCTTCACTTTCATTTGGACACGTGCTCATAAGTTCTAAAAATCCTTCTTCAACCTTTTCTAATGGAGAAATGGTAGTCCAAAAAAAGATTTTAGCCAAATGCCTAATTCGTCTCCATCCATCAAATATGAAGTTCTTAAACTATTATGTTCTTGTATCTAAATAACAAATTTATGTGAATAAAATATAAAAATGAAGTAATAATATTATTTAATTACCTTACGCCACCATGCCTGACCTAAATGGAATCTACACCCAATGATARCTATTCMAGAAAACATGGTCTTCGCGGCTTCATGTGCAGCTTTTTCAAAATCCACATGTAATGTGAGGATACATAGTCTGGTGGACAAATATTCAAAACATATGTTTTTTAAAAATGTCCACATTTGAATGTAAGTTTCTTCACATTTATCGGGTAAAAAGAAGTATACAAGTGGTATATAAAATCCATTTTTAAATCCATGGATTGTATAGAGTTGTAAAAAATACTTAGGAGCGTATTCAAATGTGCCATCTATAAATATATCATCACATTGTGTGAGTAAATTAATATTTGTTCTCGTCGTAATACAAATAAAGTTTTGATTTTCAGGAACATGAATAAACTTTTCATTTTTAAACATAAAGCGATCTTCGTTTTGCATTTCTTTAAGTTGTATGACAGCACTATTTAAAGACTGTGGAAATGTCGGGAAATCTTTTCGACGTAAATCATACATGCTTTTTTCAAAAAGATTTAATATAATTATGAGGTACTTCAAAATCAGTTTTTAAAAGCTCAGTTCTTATAATTTTTGATGGTCTTACTGAAATCGTGTCATTAGCTTTTCTTTTACAATTTTCTCGTAAAATTTGACGTTGGATTTTTTCTACCGTATCTTGTGTTCTCCGAGTATTTCCAATAAAATTGTATGTTTCGAATCAGTTAAAATACTTGCCGTACATGTTTTATGTATGTACCTCCATTTCACTTTTCCGTCCTTTCGTTGACGAATATGCCTATATTTACAAGTATTTACCAATGTTAAATCGTTTCCCTTTTCAGATTTTATTATTTCTAATGTATTCTGCATGCCTATCTATTCACTTTTAAATTTGAACACCGTAAAAATAAAAATTATAGAAAATACTCGAAATTAATATAATTTATTAAACCTATTGAACTGTATATACACGAGATGCGTTTTAACTAGATAGTTCTCACTAGACAGGCTACACTTATATTTTACCATCGTCCTACTAACAACACAAACCAACAAGTATAAAATAATCTCGTCATTATTAGATTATCGTTCAGATATCAAATATTAATCAAAATATCATATTGACTAGGATGATCGGTAAATTGTGATATATATACCTAAAATATTATAGTTTCGCCTTCGCACCATACGATGTCCATTTGTCGTATATTTATTGTATATTGTTATCTTTATCGACTTTATCAAAAGACCCAAATTATCTTATTTTTAATTAGTTTGAACTTGAAATATCGTGGTAAAGAAGTAGAAAAGTTCAGGTGCCTAAATAATATACTAATTGTATCAATCTCACGTT